GCACAAGGGATGTGTAATATCTTCACACCTTTTCAATCTATATGCAGAACAGATTATCTGGGACACTGGGGTCTATGAGGAGAAAATGTGGCGTCAGGCCTGGAGGAAGACTCATCAACAATCTGTGTTATACAGATGACACAACCTTGCTTGCTGAAACTGAGGAGGTCCTGAAGCATTTGGGGTTTTTTTTTCTTTTATAAATTATTAGTATTAATTTTAATGAAAATTTACAGAGACTTTGGATTTCCATTCATTCATTGTTGTACTTTTTGCCCTGCCCACCCCTCCACCACCCAGGACCTGAAGCGTTTGTTGCAGAACATCAAAGATGGAAACCTTCAATGTGGATTGAAGCTCAACATTAAGAAAACAAGATTCTCACCACTCAGACAATTAGCAACATCATGATAGATGGTGAAGAGATTGAGATTGTTCCCAGCTTTAGTTTGCTTGGCTCCACAATCAATACACTTGCCACCAGCAGCCAGGAAATTAAAAGATGTATTGTAGTGAGAAAGTCTGCTGTCAGAGACCTCTCCAAAGTACTTAAGAGTAATGATGTCACTCTGGAGACTAAGGTGTGCCTGATACAGGTCGTAGTCTTTGCAATCACTTGCTATGCATCAGAGAGCTGGACAATGACTAGAGATGATAGACAGTGAATTGATGCCTTTGAGCTGTGGTGCTGGTGAAAAGTATTGAATAGACCATGGACTGCTAAAAGAACAAACAGATTCCTCCTGTAGAAGATGAAACCATGCTGCTCCTTGGAGGCAAGAATTCTGAAGTCTCATCTGACATACTTTGGACATGTTGCAAAGAGGAACTAGTCCTTGGAGAGGGACGTCATGCTTGGGAGGATGGAGGGACAGTGCAGGAGATGAAGACCGTCGATGAGATAGACTGATTCAGTGACTGGGGCAAAGGGGGTGGATGTGTCAGACACATTAAGATTAGCACAGGATAGAGCAGGTTTTAGGGCTGTTTTACCTGAGATCACTATGAGTTGCAGGTGAGTCGATGGCACATAACAACAACAACACACTAAGAATGAGTCCATTGTATACCAGGCCATACCTTATCTGGCACTCTGTTGAATAATAAATCACAACACTGACTAAGAGTGAGAAAACATCAACTAATTGTATGCTTAGTATTTGATACTAATGTGAGTATATGCACAAATAATAAAATGTATATTGAGTTGGAAGCAATCAGAAACAACTCACAGTTGACCCTCCAGTACGTTTCCAGACAACGTAAATCTTAAATATATGATGATTTAGGGGGAAAGAAGTTGTGCTGCCAACTCAAAAGCAGGTGGTTCAAATTCTCCAGCTACTCGAATGGAGAAAGATGGGAAGTATCATCCTATCCACCTGCATGATTTAAAGTCTTTGACAAATCCACTGGAGCATCAGCTATGAGTCAGTTCTGACTCTATGACACCATATATATTTTACATAAACATGTCAATGTATATGACATATATAATATTATGACACATGCAAAGACACATATATGCAGTTTGCATGTTTATACACACATTTTATTTCAAAATCATGTAATTAAACGATGGCTGTTAGCACATGCATTCCTTAACAGGTGCTCTCCAGTGGGATGTTAGAGAGCTCTGGCTGCTTAATGGGTAAAGAGTTGCACTTCTAACTCTCTGGTGGTTCAAGTCCACCAGCAGCCATGTGGAAGAAAGAGGGCCATCTCATTCCACGTGATTTTACAGCCTTGGAAACCTGCTGGAGCGTTAACTCTGAGTTGACTCTGACTAGAATGAGTGGTTGAGCTGAATGTTATGGGGTTTCTGAATGACACAGTTAAGTGTTCTGCTGCTAACTGAATTGGTGGCAGTTTGGATCTACCTAAAAACATCTCAGAAGGAAAGTTCATTAATTCTACTTATGAAAGGTCACACTAAGAATGCTATGGAGCATAGTTCTAATCTTAAAACACATGGAGTCATCATAATTCATGACTGGTTCTCATCAACAACTGCTTTGGGTGTTTTTGTTTTAGCATAATGTCATCATCCCTTGGTTTATACTGGCAGGTGAGAGTAAAACAGTTCTAGGGGTAAATTTAACCTCACACACCATCGACCAGGTTCTGCTCGACTTTCTTAACATCTTTCTCAGGCACCTCATTATAACACACTAATTAAAATCTCCAACATTGTTTGTTTGCTGAGAGAGATTATCCGTGGAATTCTTTCACATAGTAGGTATTTGTTGTTGTTGTGTGTCATCATGTAACCCACAACTCATAGTGACCCTATGTACAATAGCTCTGAACCCTGCCCTATCCTGAGCCATTCTCAAAAACTGACACACTTTGCACCATCACCCCAGTTGTCGTATCAATTCATCTCATCTGGGGGCTTCCTCTCCTCCACTGTCCCTCTACCCTTCCAAGTATGATGTCCTCCTCCAAGGATTGGTCCCTCCTGGCCATATGCCCAAAGTATGTGAGAAAGAGCTGCAAAATAGGTAAGTACTTAGTACATGTTAATTTCATTTCTTAAGAATTGTCATTTTACTCAAACATTGACTAATAGTGACCTCTGAGAGAAGCAACAGACTATGCAATTTTCTCTACTTGTGAAATTCAAACTAGTTATCTCTTACTGCCAAGTAATAATGACTGTAATAAACTGAGGAGATTTCCGTTTAAATAAGTGGATGATTTTAGCTGACTCTGGAAATGTAAATGGACCCTAATTAACGAATGCCTTAATCGTTCTTCCTGTTTCTTCTTTATAGACACATTATTTCCTGCCTGAGGGTGAATACATTTAGTGTACATACATTCAGATATGAATACACATATGCATATACATATTCAATGTGCCAGCTTTAATGGAGAAGAACAAAGAATATTCATTAATTAGGCCTACAAAGATCTTCAAGGACATCTACTAGCATCAGAATAAAGTCTTCCTTCTCTCCCTCATATCAAGCCCTGATGGTATATAGTACTTTACCTGATGGTCTCCTCACAGGAAGGTCAGAAGTTCCAATCCTCCAGCTACTCCTCTAAAGAAAGGTGAGGCTCTTTCTTCCTATAAAGGTTTATAGCCTTGGAAATCTGATAAAGGGTTGCAACAAGTCAGAATCCACTCAAAAGCAATGCGTGTTTCCTTCCTTCATAGTCTGACACTCAATACCTCCAAATATAATTTCAGCTATCTCTAAAAGATACTCTATTTTCCCACACAACTAGATCTCTCTATTCTGCATTTTCAGAAAATTAATACCTGCAAAGTAAAGAATCATTACCTATAATTCCACCTCATTAGATAACCCTTGCTAAAACCATGGGGGGGGAAAATACTGGTTTAGTTCCTTCCAAAACTATTAGTTTGTGAAACATGTACTAGTCAATCTTAGATTATTTACATATGTATTCCATGTATATTTAAAAACAATTAAAGTCACGTTAGGGATATATACTTTATTTCCTGTAATTTAACATTAAATCACTCATCTGTGAGTGTATAACTTTGGCTTATATGCCGCTGTGATCCTGGGAGCAATGACACTACTGTTTGAACCACCAGCAGAGTCATCTTTGTTTGGCTGGTTTTAGAATAACATGCAGACAAAGACAAATGAAGGCCTTTGTGATCTACTTCTAAAAATACATGGGCAGTGAAAATCCAGTAATAGCAGTGAAGTGCTGTCTGTTTCCAGCACTGGGAAGATGAGACCTTCATAATGTAAGAGCCTCAAAATACTGTTGAGGAAGAACTGTCCTCAAGTAGAGTCTACTTCAGTGTCCTGGATGAAGTAAAGTTTTCAAGACTTTTATTTGCTTATGTGACACAATTAAAATGAGAAGAAACACCTAAAATATTTGTAAACAGAATAGGGAATGTGGAAGTAAATCCAGAAACATTAGAAGGCATAAAAAAATAAAGGTGAGTTGTTTTTCAAAGCAGCATAATACTCCATACTGTGAATATACCACAACTTCTCTATTCATTTGTTGATGGCACTTAGGTTGTTTCCAACTCTTTGCTATTGTGAACAAAGCCACAATAAACATGGGTGTGCATATATCTGCTTGGGTGGCAGTTATGATTTCTTTGGGGTATATTCCCAGTATTGAAATTGCTGGGTCAAATGGTATTGCTATTTGCAACTTTTTGAGAAAGTGCCATACTGCCTTCCATAGTGGTTGCACCATTTTACACTCCCATCAACAGTGAATAAATGTTTCAGTTTCTCTACAACCTCCCCAGCATTTATTGCTTTGAAAAACAAAGAACTCATGAAACAGTATACAAAATGGGTGACACTGGAGGACATGATGCTGAGTGAAATATCACAGTCACAAAAGGACAAATATGGCATAGTGCCACTCTTGTAAAACAGGACTGACACTGAGCTTGGGGGAGACTGAGAAAGATGGGATAAATTATTTATACGGCATTGAAACAGATGAGGGAGAGAACTGTTTAAAAGGGATATAATATTAAGTATTATTGTCATGACAGGAGTCCAGAATGAAAGCTGTATAGTGGAGTGGACTTGGGACTTGAGAGGAGGAATTTTATAACAATGAAAGAATTTTACTTTTCAAAAAGAAAAGCGAACTCAGGGGGAGGGGAAAGGGTGGATAAGGAGAAAAGTGCAACAATGAATGAAAGGAAATCCAAAGTCTCTGTAAACTTTCATTAAAATTGATAATTTAAAAAAGGGAATACATAAAGATTGATATACTTGTGATTAGTGACTAGAAATAGACTGGTATTGACCATTGTGAATCTGACCATATATTGCTTAGTAGGCTGGTAACAACACAGTGAAGAGAAATGGGGCATTAATTGAAAAAAAGAACATTTTTAAATCTTTCAAAAAGTATAGTTCCATTAATGGCAAAATAATACATAAATATACGTATAGATATACAGATAGATGATAGGTAGGTAGGTAGATAGATAGACAGATAGATGATAGATAGATAGAATATAGATGTAGGGCATGGTGGCGCGTGCCTGTAGTCCCAGCTACTCGGGAGACTGAGGCTAGAGGATCGTTTGAGCCCAGGAGTTCTGGGCTGTAGTGCGCTATGCCAATCGGGTGTCCACACTAAGACTAAGTTCAATACCTGAAAGAAGAGAAACTTAAACTATTATTCAAATTTAAACACCAACTACTAATTCCATAGAAGAAGTAATTGACAATTGCTTCCAACTTCACTTTTTCAAATGATCTGATATGCAATTAAGATGCATTAATAATTATTGATAATTGGAATGGGAACATTTTGAACATGAAAGGACAGTGGGAAAGAGCCAAAGAAGAGGAAATAAAAGATTTCTACCAACTTTTGCTGTCAGAAGTTGATCAAACATGCAATCAAGATGCATTGATAATAATGGGCAACTGGAACACAAAAGTTGGGAACAGAGAAGAAGGTTCAGTAGCTGGAAAATATGAGCTTGGTGAGAGAAATGAGGCTGGAGATGGAATGATAGAGTTCTGCACATTCAATGATTTATTCATTGCAAATACCTTTTATAAGAAACATAAACGCAGGCTATATATCTGGATCTCACCTGATGGTATGCATACGAATCAAATCGACTACATTTGTGGAAAGACTCTGTGGAGAAGCTCAATAGCAGCAGTGAGAACCAGGACTGATTGTGGCACAGACCACCAAACTACTCGTATGCAAGTTCAAGCTGAAGTTGAGGAAAATTAAATCAAGTCCACGGGAACCAAAATTTGATCTTAAGTCTATCCCACTCGAATTTCAAAACCATCTCAGGAACAGGTTTGAGGCCTTGAGCACCAATAAGCATAGACCAAATGAGCTCTGGGAGGATATCAAGAAAATCACGTATGAAGAATGCAAAAGATCGTTACAAAGGCTGAAAAAGAAGACAAGACCAAGATGGATGTCAGATGAGACTCTGAATATTGCATTAGAGCACCGAGAAGCCAAAGCTAAAGGAAGAAACCAAGAAATCAAAGAGCTAAACAGAAAATTTCAAAAGGCAGCCCGGGATGATAAAACAAGATACTATAATGAAATATGCAGAGAGCTGGAGTCAGAAAACCAAAAGGGATGGACTCGCTCAGCATTTCTTAAGCTGAAGGAGCTGAAAAATTCAAACCACGGGTGGCAATACTTGAGGATACTTTGGGCAGAATGTTAAATGATCCTGGAATTATCAAGAGAAGATGGAAGGAGTACACAGAGTCACTCTATCAGAAGGAATTGGCTGACACAGAAGAATTTCATGAAACAACATATGAGCAAGAGCCTATGGTGATGAGAGAGGAAGTTCAAATTGCTCTGAAGGAATTGGCAAGAAACAAGGCTCCAGGAGTTGACGGCATACCAATTGACGTATTTCAACAAACAGACACTGGCCTGGATGTGCTCATTAAGTTGTGCCAAGAAATCTGGAGAAGAGCCAGCTGGCCCACTGACTGGAAAAGACCGATATTTGTTCCCATTCCAAAGAAATGTGACTGTGACCCAACAGAGGTGGAAATTATCGAACAATATCATTGATATCACATGCAAGCAAGATTCTGCTGAAAATTATCCAAAAACTTTTGAAACAATATGTCAACAGAGAACTGCCAGATGTGCAGGCTGGATTTAGAAGAGGTCGTGGTACTAGGGATATTATAGCTAATGTCAGATGGATCTCAGCAGAAAGCAAAGAATACCAGAAGAATGCTTTATTGTCTATACAAAGGCCTTTGACTGTGTGGATCACAACAAGCTATGGCTGACTCTGAGAAGAATGGGAATCCCAGAACATTTGATTGTGCCAATACGAAACTTATACTTGGACTAAGAGGCAGTTATCAGAACAGAGCAAGGACACACTACATGTTTTAAAATCAAGAAGGGGGTTCATCAGGAATGTATTCTGTCTCCATACCTTTTCAATCTGTATGCAGAAGAGATCATCCGAGACGCTGGGCCTTAATAAAAGATATGATTTCTGAGTTTACACCAAAGAATTTTTCAAGACAATAACTTCTTCAGTGAAAATACATTTTGTCAATAACATAAATGATAACCATGTATTTGGATCTTATTGGATAGAATACACAGGAATCAAAAAGGATACTTATGTGAAATGAAAAAAAATGGAGAAGCTCAATATTATCAGCAGAATAAGTCCAGCAGCTGACTCTGGAACTAATCATTAATTGGTCAGATGTCAAAAAGAATAAATAGATAGATAGATAGATAGATAGATAGATAGTCTGTTGGTGTCAAAATTTAACTTTGAGTATATCCCAACTTTAGTTAGAAACCATCTCAAGAATCTATTTTATACACAGAGCACTGTGACCAAAGACCAAATGCATTCTAGTGTGGTATCAAAGACTGGATACATGAAGAAAGTAAAAGATTATTAAATAGACAAATAAGACAGAAAAGACCAGAATGAATGTTTAGAAGACACTCTGAACATTGCCCTAGAATATACTGAAGTTAAGACAAGAAGAAAACAATTATGAAGCTAGAGACTTAAACAGAAAATTTCAAATGGAGGCTTTAGAAGACAAAATATTATAATGAAATATGTAAGGATCCTGAGTTAGAAAACCAAAAGGGAAGTACACATTTTAAATTTCTTGTAGTGAAAGAACTGAAGAAAATCATTCCATCTTTGAGTGGTAATAATGAAATATTCTACAAGCGACTATGACATGGCGTGGGAAGTGTCAATATAAGATGGAAAAATCCAGAAGAGTTATGGTACTAAAAAAAAATTGATGCTTATTCATCCTTTATTTAAATAAGGAGCACAAGCTACACTAAAAACTGGGGGAAACGAAGCTCCAGCAGTTTTCTGAACACCAATTAAGTTGCATAAGAAAGTGACATTGGAGGTGCTCACTTGTTTAAGCCAGAAATTTGAAGGACAAGTATTGGTCCAATTTCTTGGAAGAGTTCCATATTTGCTCTCATTTAAACAAACAAACAAACAAAACCCCCCCAAACATAAACAAAAACAAACACAAACATACAGAAACAAACAAAAAAGTGCTCCAACAGAGTGTGGCAATTATAAAGTAGTAGTATTTCTATCACACCCAAGTAAAATCTAGCTAAAGATAATTAAAAAACAGTTGTAACAGTGCATGGACAGGTATGGTCAAGTATTAAAGCTGGATTCAGAAGAGGACGTACAATGAATTGTGGTATTGTTTATGTGAGATGGGTCTTGGCTAACAGAAGAGAATACCAGAAAAATGTTTACCTGTACTGTATTGATTATGCAAAATTATTCATATCAATTATAACAAGTGATGGATAACGTGAAAAATGGAAATTCTAAAACACTTAATTGGACTTATGGAGAATTTGTTTATAGTCGAAGAGGCAGTCATTCAAGCAAAACAAGGAGATGCTTCTTTGTTTAAAATCAGGAAAACTGTACATCTGGGTTGTATCCCTTCACCTTCCTTATTTATTCTGTTTATTTGAAAATCCAAGGAACTGATTATATAAAGAAAAAGACAGCAGCAGGCCTATAGCCATACCACCCTCAGTTTACCAAGTTTATCAAGATCCTGCTTGATCTCAGAAGTTAAGCGTGGTTGGGCCTGGTTAGCAGTTGGTTAAGAAAATAGCGCATCAGTTTTGGAGTAAGACTCATTCACAACCTGTGATATGCAAATAACATACCTTTTTACTGAATGCAAAGAGGACTTAATGCTGTTGTTGTTATTGTTGTTGTTGTGTACCATAGAGTCAGAACTGACCCATAGCCGACCCTCTCGCAGGTATTCAGAGGCAGTTAATTGTACTTACTAATTAAATAAAAAACTTCCCTTTCAATATGGGTTATCTTTCAACAAAAAGAAGACAAAAATCACCTATTTTTAATTCTAATGATGATTTAAATTCACTACAAGGGCTGACTCAAGTTCCCAACTAATTATGTTGTTTATCAGTTTAAAAATTAAAATGTAATTAAAAATAAATGAATTTTAAAAATAAAAAAGAAGATAAAAATCACAATTGGACTAATAACCAATATTATAATAAATGGAAAAAAGATTGAAGTTTTCAAAAGTCTCCTCTTACTTGCACCCGCAGTCACGGCCCGTAGAAGAAGCAGTAAATGAAGCAAATGAGATATTTTACTGGGAAAAGTCCGCTTCAAATAAACTTCTTTAGAGGATAAAAAAGTGAATTATGTCGTTTTGAGGGCTAAGGTGTATGTAACCCAAGCCACGATTGGTTTGTGGTGAGCCACCCTGCTAACCGAAGGCTGAGCATCTCAGACAGTTGGAATCCACTTTCAACTTCTCCAGAGAAAGGTAGGCAGTTGCCGCCATTGTAATTTATAGCCTCCGCCTCAGAATCCTGATACAGAATTTAGAAGAGTTAAAACCAATTTGACAGAAGTAAATGAGTAAGTAACATAAATGCAATTTAAAAAAAATTTTTTTTGTAAATACAATTTTTCATAAGCGTGTGAAACTGGACAAAGAATACGAAAGACTAAGGAATATTGAAAAAAATTGTTTGAGATTATTACATATACCATAAACATTCAGAAGAATTTTTTTAAAACTCTGAGAAGCAAGAAGGTTGAGAATTTTACTCGTATACTTTGGACGTGTTATCAGCAAGAGAACATTACCATGGTTGATAATATTGAAGGCCTATAAAAAGAGATAGAATATCAATGAGAAAGACTGACAGAATGACTGTGACAATGGACTTGCCACATAGCAACAACTGTGAGGAAGGTACAGCATGTCCATATGGTGTCCATAATAGGGTCACGATGGGTAAGAACTGATAAAATGGCATCAAATGAAACCAGTGTTCCAGTGCTTTTAGATTGCTTACCATGTCATAAAGCTCTATAGCTACTGTTGTGGTTGTTATTATGTGCTGTCAAATCGCTTGCATCTCATAGTGATTCTGTGTACAACAGCCATAAACCCTGCTCTATCATGTGCCAATCTTATTGTCTCTGACAGACCTACTCCAGTCATTGAAGCAATCCATCTCATAGAAGCTCTTCCTCTCCTGTGCTGTCCATCTACCCTCCCAAGCACCACATCCCTCTCAAAGGACTGATCCCTCAGCATATCCTCGGAATTCTTGCC